CAGATCCCAGCAATCTCCGGGTGACAGCTTTCCAATTCCTCAAAGCTAAAGTATATAACGAGCAGGGCTCTGATGCAGCCAAATGTCCCCGCAGCATTTGGATCAATCATTCTGCCAAACATTCTTTACAAGATCAAAAAACTGGAGTGTTGTAGCAAACTCCAAAAGCATAACACTGAAGACCGCTGTCAAATAAACACAAAAGGGCTCAAGCCTGATGTTGGGGTGGACAAAAAAATATATCCCCTGGTAATTGGATTCAACTTTTTCTGTGCTCTCTGTGGAGTTTGCAGAAAGTGGGCAAGAGAGAAAAATCTAATATGATATTAGAGAAGTCCGGCTTAATCTAATGACATTTATGTGCATTCATCACAGAAAATCCAATAACATGACATAAAGTACGCTGTTAACTTCCCTGTCTCACAAATAGCCGTTTTCCAGGTATAATGTCAGAGGATTGCCTTCGTAATAATCTGTTAAAAAAGCAAGAGAGGGGGTCGATACATGACCCCATCCCATCAGTTCCCCCCATGCCACCTGTTCCCGTGTTTTTCTCAGTGTATGCGTGTTGTGTCTGATTAATTGTCAGTTTAAACAATGTGTGAATGGAATTGCCTCACACACAGCAACTGGTAGCCATTCTGCTCATGTTGATGTTATACGTAAATGTATGACTGTCTGTGTGTGCCTGCGCATGTGTCACCAGAAGCAGATGTTAGCACATACTGTAGATTAGGTCCAGCCGGGGGTGTAATCCTGGTGTTACTGAGAAGAGTGTGGATTTCTAATCGCCCACACAGCTACTCCTCAATAAGCAGAAAGCAGGGAATCTCTTATACTTGTCTCCCTTCTCCTCTCATCCCTTACCTCTCTGACATGATCTCATTCTCACCCCTAATCCTTATTCATTAGTGGCTTAGCTGACTTCATGTTGTATGTTGTTGACCAGATGGTCCAATGAGAGACAGCGAAGTTAAAGTGAATGGCTGGTCCTCATCAGTTTCCTCTGACGCATGATAAACAAACACACCAGCCACTCTGCTTATTGCTCTCCCTCTCTGTTTTCTCTCATAAGCCCTCGTATTTGCCTTTCGTTTGACCTATTCATTTCATTAGGAGAGCCAACATGTGTTGAATAGAAAAAAAGTGTTATGCTTGTCAATTATTTGGGAAATGTTGCATATTCCTAGACGTAATAATGAAGTAAACTGTGAAAGTTGATGAATAAATATGTCCTATCCCTCAGACCACAGAGCTAGACTTTTATACCTGCGGTGTGTTTAGAGTTTGGTTATTTATTCAGACAATACAGCGGGAAGTAGGTCATGTTAGGTTTCGCCTCAATGGATGCTGTCCTGTAGGTAATGGCTCTCCTTTTCTCTCTCAAACTGAAGTCAATATCACAAAAGAAAACAAAAAAACATGAATGAATGAATGATTGGATTCAGAGAAAGCTGACACGCAGCCCGAAGCATTATTTGTTGCTGTTATCACTCGAGACATCTTAAGCATATTAGACTAATTGATCAAATCAAATTTTCCGAAACATAACCAGATTTTATTATTTTTGGACTATGAAGTTGGTAATATGAGTGGTGGTACGTCTCCCACGTTGACAAGCTTCATCAAGTTTTGGTGCGTTTGACACAGAAATGCATGATTTTTCACTGAGCTTAGGATCCATCTCCCTCGGGTGCTGCCTTGTACCTGACTTTTTTGAGTCTTCTGTGGTTCAGGGAGACAGAATAGAACTGGAGCTATTTCCATCTATTGCACTGACACATACTGGCATACACTAAAAGATATATGAGGTGTTTCACTCAAAGTGATATTCACCGCGGCGCTGTAACACTTGTTCTGACAAAATGATTGCTGCCATGGAGATACAGCTATGGCTGCAGCTGCTGACCTTCTTTAAATGTACTCTTTTTTTAAAAATAATTGTAAAGGATGTAATGATAGATTATTGGTAATAGTCCAATAATCCCCAAGCAATATTTAAACATACAAATCTCCTCCCCGACTGCATCAAAGGACACACAAGAGCAGGCATGTTGGACATCATGCATCTGTACTAAAACACACACAAACACATGCACTCACTACTGCACACACACACACACACACACACACACACACACACACACACACACACACACACACACACACACACACACACACAATAATGAATATCAGGGGAATTTCTAGTTGCCATGGGAATGTTTTTTTTGTTGCACAGTGTACTGTTGTTTAGGGGGGTTGGATGATAACAACTTCAAAGATTGTGTGTTGTGAAAGGAAATAATAAAAAAAAAATCTAAATTGTTTCCTTGTTAGTTACACACAGCGGTGTAGACACTGACCGTCACTCTCTTTTCTACCTTTGGTCAACAAGATAATTTTGGCTGGTCATCATATGAGGTTGTAGATAAAGTGATTTTCGAAATGCCACCTTACACCTTTAAACATGCAGTGATTATAATTGCATTTTTATGTAGATGTTGTTACGAGGTGTATGTGTTATTAGTGAAATGCATATTTACAACTGTTGTCCTTGGCCACTATATGTGGAATTTCTATGTTTCATGCTTAGCTGGTGTACATGACACATACACATTTCTGCACCGACCAGAATATTGTCTAATCACTGACAGGTCGGCTCATCTCTAACCCTTCATGTCAGGACATCAGTGACTTTAAGCTCTGCTACTGTAAATGAAGCTGCCAGATTCCAGTCAGGAAGGAAATGTAAAACATCATATAGGAGGCGTGAAAGGAATGATTTGATAGGATTAAATATTTTATGGGGATTATTTATCTCTTCTAGTCTGCGTGGAGATGGAGCTCAGCTGCTACACCACACCAGGTACATGCTCACCCTTAGGATAGGAGCCATTTCCTTTCCAAATAAGTTGAAATGTGTATGATAGGAGCATACTTTTTTAAAGTCCTGAACACCCACAGTAGAATATAAATATTGTGCTTCCGCATGTCGGCCATGTCAGACTGGGAAGGTACTATGCGGATGATTGATGGCCATAAAGCAGTAAAACATGACAGTAAAGGTTGCTTACTTGGTAGCAGTCTTGTTGATCGCTCCATTGAAGCTCTAGGTTACAATGTGAGCCTTTGAAGCTGCTTGGTCTGTGTCGAGTTTGTGCCTTCTCACAGTCTCACAGTATTCATCTGGGTTTCCTTCAGTGGCTCCATTTTCCTTCTTCAGTCCTGATGCCATGTGAGCTGAAGACTGTCAAGTGACCACAGGTGTGAACGTTTTCTTTACTTCAGGTCAGTCTGACCCGCCCAGGGACGTTGACCGACGCAGACTTGGACACGCTTCGGCCACACACTAACACTAGACCTGAATAGGAATGAGTAAAGAGGATGCATGGGTGGATAGAGGGACACAATACTGTGCGACATGAAAAAGTGACACCAAGCCCATGAAACTAAGACCTGACAGTACTGTACTGTATGTACAGCTATTTTAAAGAGTTAATCCCTATGGCGCCATATGTCTACCATTCTTCACAGTTATTATGGAAAAACACAAACAAGACCAACCCACCGGCAAACTGATTTTTCAATATCAACAAAAGTAATTTAAAACATAAAACTTTTAATGGCATTTTCAGCTAGATTTCTTAGTACTCCATTTGAGTCCTCTAACAATGTCCTCCTTGAATCTTTAAAGGCTATCTTTCTTTACAGTGTCACATCTTATTTAAGATACATGTACCGACATACTGTTTGATGTTTTTCTCATCACAACGAAAAGAAAAAATCAATTTCAATTAAAAACACATATTTAGCAGGAGATACAGTGCTTAAAGATGGAGGCAGTGTATTGCAGTTGTGTCTGACAGCAGACTTTTGTCCTGCGCCTTCACAATCCACAATTGTCCTGAACTGCCGTTATGAATATGTAAATCCCAAATGATTCCTTTCTTTACGTACCGCCTGTTTATTCTGCCTGCTTTTAAAAAGCGGTTTAGTCTAATTCCATATACATTCCATTTGGTTGTGTTCAGAGTGGGAGCGTTATGAGTGAGGCAACCATGTGTAAACGTTTAAGGTGAGCAATTTACAGATGCATTTTCGCCTTGTTCTCTTTCAGCACATAAACTCTGCAAATTCCCATAAGTGGGATTAACTCTGTCTGCTGCTAAAAGATAAGCTTTGGTAAAATACACAAGGTACATAATGTATAGAATCTGTGTGCAATGCATACAGTAAGTGAATCTGTTTATTTCAACACATTGTCTTTCCTAACTCTAAAGAGGGCACTGTGAGTTAAAATGAAACGTAAAAACGATTTGCATGAGAACAACTGTATGTAATCATAGCTTATATTAGCCATATACTTAATGATTTGTTTTATTTTAGATGCTTCTAAGCAACCAAACAAAGAAAAACACATTAATGTCTGGTAATCTTAATAGCTATATTACAATAGCTCTCTGGGGCTGTGTTTGGTGATCCGGGTGGCTAGTTCTCTTCAACACTGACAATGTGTGCCAATTCATATCAAAAACACGTAAAGCATTGCATGGTTGAGCCGACAATTTGATTGTGTTTGATGTCAACAGAACGAAGTATGAAATACACCGGAACACACAAGTTAGTATCATCTAAAAACACACACACAGACCGGTTCCTTTCATATTTGCATGTTGATAAATGCTAAGCTCCACTGGTTCTATAAGTATTACATTTAATAGCATTGATTCTCCAATCTCAGCTGCATGTCGGAGCAGAGGACTAGAGAACACGTATATTTCCTCTTATTCCTCCAGCTTATAAATCACCCAGGGGGTTGGTGAGGGATAAATGTTAGCTTACAGCAGAAGGATAATGCGGAATAATAAAAGTATATATGGTAATACTGAATACCCCTTTCAATATTTATATTTGGTGGACCACAATATAAATGTCAAGTACAATCAGAGCGGGTCAGTGCCTCTCTATTAAATCTGTTTGTTTTAAAGGGTCTTGGGTGCTCATTTCAACTCCTCCCAGTCTGTGGAGGGGTCGGATTGGGTGGAGGCTCTGTTTGTCCGCGTGGCCCTCCTGGCTCTGAGGGACACGAGGTTCAGGAGTCTCTCCAGCTCGTCCCCGGACCCCGACAGGCTGCCGGAGCCGAGCCCCCTGCGGCCCTCCTGGGACCCTCGCCACTCCCCCGTCTGTAGGTCCCAGGCCCTGAGGGGGGGCAGCAGCTGAGCCGGGTGCAGGTTGACGGCTGAGGGGCTCGACGGGTACCCTTCGTAGGCTCGTCGTGTCGGGGGGAGAGTGTCATAAAGGCCGTCTTCACCGTGCTCTGGGTCACGCTCTCGGTATTCCTCGTAAACAGGCGAGGAGTTTTCTTCCCCGCTGTCATGCTGCTGGTCCTCGCACGCCCCCCTGTCTCTGCTGCCTTCTCCCTTCTCCTGTCCTTCCCCGTCGTGCCTCCTCTTCTCTTCTTTCTCCAGGAGGCGTTTCCTCACCCACTCCCCCGACTGATTCCTCTCCCAGTGGAAGGCCCTCCTCTCGCTCTCCGCCTCCTGCTCTCCGCCTCTGTCCCCGCTGCAGCTTATCACTTTGTAGTCCAGCTGGAGAGACCGCGTGCTGCCCCCCCGTCTGATGTTCTGCTCGCTGTCACTGAGGTTCAGATTAGATCCCAACTCCGGTAGACGCAGGCGTGAAGGTGACAACCAGGTCGTCGTCTGACTGCAAGGCTCCCAGCGGTATGCTGAGAAGAGAAGAACAAACACAGGAAGAATAAGTCTTTTTTTAAATAGTTGAGAATAGTTTCAGTGAGACATAGTTTTTTTTATAGAACAAAGAGACGACCTGTTTTAAAAGAGAATAGATTTTTTAGTTAACATACTCTGTTGGCAGCCTGAGGCTTCATTCCCTGGACAAATGAGTGCTGCCAAATCACTTGAAGTATCTAGTTCTCTCTTGAATGTACCTTGCGATCAGCCTTTGTGCAATGCACAGTGTGAGCAAAGAATGAGATTATGTATCAAGTAGGATCAGCCGGCGAAAGGTGACACATCAATAAATCACATCACTTCTGCAAACACAGTATCATCATGATCTTATCTCCAGGAGGGAAAGCGAGGTGACGCGAGGAATATGCTCTCAGCTGCTGAAGGGACTGATCTACTAGAGATGTTCACTATTCACTGCAGATCCCATCGCTGCCCTCCTAAAGCAACAACAGCTATCTTTAGATGTGAGCAAAAAAACCTTTACTTAAAAGGAAAATAAATGTTTGTAACATCGTGACTTGTTGTGTTTCTACACTTTGGATTATCTACTCCCTTATTTTCATTAAATGTGGTGCTTGTTTGATGCGCCTGTGAGTTTGCCTGTGTAAATGTGTGCTGTCTGTTTAGGAGTATGTTAGGTTTTAGTTTTGTGATGCAGAGGGAGGCCTGTGTCTGGCTATGTTTCTTTCTGAGTTGCTGTGAAGTTCACTGTGTTCACTGGCCCTGCGTGTTTACATTCTGTAATTGCTCCACTTCTCATTAAAATGCGTATCTCTGTGCAAATACAACCAGTCAACAAACATTTCTTCATGCTGTTAACGGACTGACACATAACTCCCCACTAATCCACTTTTCATTCAGGTTACAGCGTGCGGGTTGCATAAGTCATGGTCGGGGTAATGAGCTGAGAGTGAATAAATATTGTATTAATGGAGAGAGGGAAGACAGGGGG